CAGGTTCCACATGGGAAGATAGGATATTGAAGGGGCTGCTAGAAGAATCAACGTTTGCATCCGTCGTTCCCCAACGGTCCGCGATGACGAGCGTTTTAGTCAATACGGCGCCACGGCTCAGGGCGAAGGGAAGTACGAGCGCCAACCCCTGCATGCATATGGGAAAAGAAAACGAACAAAGCGGTTGCCCGGAAGCTGGAGGCGCATGTTGTAGAAGGAGATGAAACCATGATTATCGTTGTTTGCGCCCAAGGACTCAGGAGGGAATTGGCGATGTCATTACTTTTCGATCGAGCAAAGGAGGAGGCGCAAATTTGGCCTCCATGACGGCCGTCGGAAGCGGGGGTAGCAATCAATTTGAGGACGGGCCTCTCTGTTAGCGTCACAGACGGATCTTTGCGATGGGAGGAGGACTGGCGAAATGAGAGTCGGCCTGAGCAGCGATGATGTGGGCTCCCCTTCTGCAAGCGCCACGTTAATATAATGAGACCTCCTGAACCAAAATAAAAAAAAGTCGACAGCGACCTGAAGTCCCTAGCGCGCGCCCTGGGGGCTGGATCTGCGCGGCTCGAGAACACAGCCGCTCCATATCGATAACCGCCCCCCCCCCCGCTCCTGACGTTATACAAGCGGCGCCTGGACACGCCTTGGGGCCGGCGATGAGCATGTACGAGGGGCGATGGCGCTCGAGAGTTGAAATGAGAGGCCTGGTACCTGACTTGGCGTCGTCTGCAAGGACGCCACCTAGCGGGCAAACCATTGCGGAATGTAGACTAGGCCGCTCGCTAACACTCTTCGTTTGTGTTTCATGTTTCAGAAGCACAACCTCGTCTCTCCGCTAAGTGGCCGACAGGGCTCGAGGCTGACTGCAGCCTGCGCAACCAAGCGTCTCTCCTAAAGGAAAATAATAACACTCCGCTGCAACGCCCGGCAGACGTGTGTCGCAGGGCCTCCAAGGGCGCCAAGGCATGCGCCGCCCGCACGTAGCAACCGGGTGGAAATCACTCATCCGCCCATGTCCATCACCCGGCCTAGGCTCAGCGGCGGGTGTGATGGAAGGAGTAGAAAGGCCCCGTCATCCCCGACTCTTTCTTTCCTCACCCCCACAAGGACTCAGAATCCCAACTTGTTGTCTGTCTCTCTTTTCAAAGGCTCTTTGTGGCCTGTTTCATTCCTTCCCTTGTCGCTAGCTCGGCATATTCATTCATTACCTTGAGTCCTAGTGACCAAAAACCCTTACAACTTCGGTTCCAGTCGTCACTACCAAAAAAACCACGTTGTTTTCTGCCCTTCAAGTCAACTGTTGAAGATCGAATACCATGAAGACCCAATCTATCCTTCTCGCGGCCCTGGCCTCGGCCCCCGCTGCCCTTGCCCACACTGTTTTTACTGACTTCTACGTTGATGGCGTGCCTCAGGTATATGGTGTTACTTGCTTTCTATGCGACTTGGACTAACAATTGTCAGGGTGATGGTGTTGCTATTCGCATGAACCCTTCAGGAGAGCACACTAGCTCCCCTATTGGCAGCCTTGATAGCACTGACATGGCTTGCAGTATGTCCCCTTTATCTTGGTGCTCCCTTAGCGCATCATGACTGACCAAACTTGACAGATGTTCAGGGTACCAAAGGAGTCTCGCGCACCCAGACTGTCCAGGACGGTTCCGTTCTTACTTTTGAGATTCGCGAGTGGCCCGATGACCCATCCAAGGAGCGCCTTGATCCCGGCCACAAGGGTCCTTGCGCTGTCTACCTGAAGAAGGTCGAGGACGCTACCACTGACACTGCTGCTGGTGATGGCTGGTTCAAGATCTTTGACCACGGCTATGACGCTGACTCTAAGCAATGGTGCACTGACAAGATCATTGCTAACAATGGTCTTCTTTCTGTCACACTTCCCGAGAACCTTCTGCAAGGCGACTACCTCGCTCGTCCCGAGATTCTTGCTCTCCATGCCGCCAAAGACGGTGACCCACAGTTCTACACTGGCTGTGCCCAAATCTTCCTCAAGAGCTCCGGAAACCTCGTTCCCGAGTCCACTGTGTCTATCCCCGGATACGTCAAGTACAACGAGCCCTCGACCGACTTTGACATCTACAACACTCCTGCTACCGAGTACGTTGTGCCCGGCCCCAAGGTCGCCAAGCTCACTGCTGGCGCGAGCAAGTCTTCTGCCACTGTCCAAACCAAGGGCCTCAAGCCCCAGGGCTGCGTCATGGAGAACGCAAACTGGTGTGCCAAGGAGGTCCAATCCTACACCGATGAGAAGGGATGCTGGGCTGCCGCTGAGGACTGCTGGGCTCAGAGCGATGTATGCTACGACTCCGCACCCCCAACTGGTGGCAAGAACTGCAAGCTCTGGCAGGACAAGTGTACCGACATTGGTGCGCAGTGCAAGGCTGGCAACTGGGTCGGTCCTCCTAACAAGGGCAAGGACCTTACACCTGCCAAGAAGTCCATCGATGTAGGCCTCATCATGCCCAATCAGGTCCAGCCTGGTGCCCCATCCAAGAACACGTCAGCGCCTTCATCCGAAAAGGAGCAGGAGGAGCCAGAGTCCACGCCTGCGCCCAAGCCTGAGACTGAGACCAAGCCTGAAGACTCCGAGTATCAGCCTGCGCCTGCACCTGCTAAGCCCGTTGTCGAGGCACCAAAGCCAACTCCCACCCCTGATGCGCCTGCAGCTCCATCCAACGATGAGTACGACAGCCCTCCTTTCATGGAGCCCACCAACTACCCTGCTGCTCCCCCTCCAGCCCCCTCCAAGCAGCCCACTACCCTCAGCAAAGCCCCCATCTCCACCATCACCGTTGCCCCTTCATCGGTCGGTGGCCCCAAGCCTACTCAGCCCCCTTGCCCCAAGGGATACAGGTGCGTCTACGTGACTGACCTCGTCGTCGTCACTACCACCGTCTACGTGACTGAGGGTGCTGCCCCCACTGCTACCCCTACCCCTAGCTCGGGGAGCTACATGAAGCGTGCTCATCTTCACCCGAGGAGGCGTCTGCACATGGCTTAAGCCTTAAGCTAGTGACTGGAAGACGTATAACTTACATCTATGACTTGGGCGTTTGAATCAAGGAAATCGGGTTACGTTCATGCCAACGCCATTCTCATTGGCTACTTTCTGGGACTTGAGGGTTGGGGTTTTCTTTTTTTGGGAGGGAAAACAAAATTCTTTTTTTTTACCTTTCTGCGACACTGTTTTGTTGTTCGCGAGTCTCATTGATTGACTCTGTTCTTTTTGGAAGGAGAGGGGGAATGGAATGTAGGATATGGAGCAGACCTTTTTGTCTTATATTCTTTCTTCTTCTCTTCTAAACTTCTTCTTTTTAACCCTTTTTTTGGCACAGATATGAATGAATCATGCTTGATATGACCATGACATGAAGAATTGTGCTGTCTTTTGAATGATTGCTGTGATGTTGATACTATGTTGTGTATGTGTGGAGATGCTGAGGGGAGAGGTTGCGTCATTGCAGATAGTTGGTCAAGGAAGAACAGAAAATGTATTTGCTTTGTAGATCATGGCCGTTGTTTTACCACTTGGCCCGATGTTTGGCCAGAATTCTCCGCGCTCAGCTCTATTTTCATGTCTCGCCCTCGATAGTGCGCACCTTGATGCTTCCGTCTTGCATACCAAAGTAGACGGCGACGGGCTTCTGGCCCCCGCGGACAGTCTTCATGCTTTGGTCCTGTTCACGTAGCGCCTGTGCATCGATGCCATTCAGGCCCGAGAAAATGCCAACCTCAAGGACACCGGTAAGGCCCTTGATGGCCCTGCTCAGGGTGTTAACCTCCCATGTTCCGTCCGTGCCGTCACCCTTTCCTTTACCCGCTGCTACATCCGCGGATGTAAGCAATGGGGGAAAAGGCGCATCGATGATGTAAAAATCCTGGTCCGTCTTCAGGGGCCCTGACTTCTCCAGTAGCGTCGTCCTTAGTTTAGGGCCTGTTGATCCCAGCATCCTCAGCGCACCGGCGACCTTGAGCTGAGACAGGGGCGCGACCTCGATAGGGATGGTGGGCCAGTTTGTCAAGAGACGGTTCTGTCTTTTTCTGTAGTCTGCGACGCAAACAAATTTTCTGGCGCGCTCAGCAACTAGCTTCTCCTGGAACAGACACGCGCCTCCTCCTTTTATGCAGTTGAGCTCTGCGTCGACTTCGTCGGCGCCGTCAAATGCTACGTCGAGCATGACGTGGTCGGGGAGACTGTCAAAGGAGATGGCAGTGAGGCCGGCATTGACGACCAATTGGCGCGATTGGAAGCCAGTAGGGACGAAGAGAATGTTGGGATTGGTCGATCGCTGCTTGATGGCCTCGACAACGTAGACAATTGTAGTGCCGGATCCAATTCCAACGTGGGTTGCCGCCGGATCAAAGTGGTCCGCAACGGCCTGTTGTGCAGCCGCACGTTTGGCAGCCTCGACATTTGTGTCGGTCATGGTTTTTGCGGTTTGGAGTGATGTAGTGTTGTGGAAGTGCCTTGAAAATGGCGGACCGGGTTGACCGAGGGATTTTTGTAGAAGAGATTTGCCGGTGGTGTAGATACGGGATGGATGTATAGCCAATCTAGGGATCGATAAATTTTGGAGGGGCAGTGGAGGCGTGAGATGACTGATGCTGCGGGCTTGCTGATTTATACTGGCAGTGCAGACGGGCAGAGGTCTCAAGGGCATGGGCCGGCGCGCTTCGCTAGCCTTCCTCTGGGCTTATATGTACAACGTATCTGAGAGTCTGAGACCTTCAGCAATGAGTCTAGATGATGCCGGGGGATGCAAGTGAATGATTTGCTCGTGACAAGGTGATAGGGCACGCGGCGAAAGATGACGCTGTTGTGCCCCGCCATTGGAATACCCCGCGGCAGGGGTCACGCCTAGCGCGAGCCGACAGCTCAAGCGCGTCCGGTGCCTGGCAGCTCTAACAGCGGTAACAAACATTCCTCTGCCATATCTCTCGGCCACTACCAGAAAAAGAAAAGAAAAGAAAAATCAGTGAGAATGGCAGACCTCCCTCCTCCCGTACAAGGTCCAACTGCCAAGGAGAAGAAGTATGTCACCTCATTGCTGCTAAACAGCACTACCACGTACTGACCGCAATAGGTACGATCGCCAGCTACGCCTCTGGGGAGCTACGGGCCAAGCTGCGCTCGAGAGCTCCCATATCCTCCTCATAAACTCAGGGCCGGGAGTTGTCGGCGTAGAAACACTCAAGAACCTCGTCCTGCCATGCATTGGCGACTTCACCATTCAAGACTCAGCCGTCGTCAATGAAGCAGACCTAGGCGTAAACTTCTTCCTGGAAGACCAACATTTAGGAGGCTTCCGTGCAGAACACACATGCAACCTACTCAAGGAGCTGAACCCAGATGTACAGGGTCACTTCATCACAGAGGTATAACCACGCTTTGCAGTTCGTCCATGATCGTCGGCTAATGGACCTAGCCTATCGAGTCGTGGCTATCACAGCCCAATGTCCTGCAACCATACTCGTTGATTATTGCGACCGCGCCTATCCGCCCCGATATCCTCGAAAATCTGTCTAGACATGCAAGCGCTGCGCTCGTTCCGCTATTCTATCTCCACTCCGTTGGCTTCTACGCTCACTTCTCCGTCCATCTGCCTCCCGCATTCCCCATTGTAGACACACACCCTAGCCCCGAAACCACATCAGACTTGCGGTTACTGCGACCGTGGCCCGAGCTAGTACAGTATGCGGAAGAGAAGACGGCCGACCTAGAAAACATGAAGGCTGAAGATCATGGCCACGTGCCATGGATAGCGCTGCTATTGCATTACTTAGAAAAGTGGAAGAAGGAACATGGGGGAGAGGTGCCACAGACTTACAAGGAGAAGACAGAGTTTAGGGCTTCCGTATCGCAAGCTGCACGTACAGACAACCCAGAAGGCGGCGAAGAGAACTTCGATGAGGCAGTGGCAGCTGTTCTGAAGTCTCTCAATCCACCACAAGCAAGTAGCGCCGTCAAGGAAATCTTTACAGCACCAGAGTGCCTTCTAGTCCGCCAAGACTCACCGAGCTTCTGGGTCATCGCAAACGCCATTGGCTTGTTCTATACAAAATACAATGTCCTACCAGTCCCTGGCTCTGTGCCGGACATGAAGGCTCGCTCAGCGGACTACATCGAGTTGCAAAATGTCTACAAATCCAAAGCGCGGCGCGATCTGGCAGAGGTGGTGGAGAGTGTACGATTTTTGGAGCGCAATGCTAACCGCAGTGTACCCATTGACGAAAAGGACATTGAGACTTTCTGCAAGAACGCAGCACATATCAAACTAGTGCGCGGTCGACCATTTCACATAGTAGAAGCGGGAGAGAAGATCAAATGGGGCGATCGCGCCAAGTCAATTGGTAAGTGTGCAGATATGAGAGACTGCCGAGTGAGCTAACAACCCACAGCTCAGACACTCACCTTCCCCGACTCACAGATCCCGCTGTACATTGCCTTTCTAGCATGGGATGAGTTTGCTGCGACGCACAATAAAGACGGTCTAGGAGGGGCGCCTCAAGTTGCCGGAGAAACCGACCCGGATACGGATTCAGAAAAGCTGATTGGAATCGCTCTTAAGATCGCCGATGACCTGATCAAAGAAGCGAATGTTACTATTGAGGAGGACGAGTATGCAACCATCCGATCACAGATTGGAGATTATGCACGTGAGCTGTAAGTACACATTGCAACACCAAACTTATTGTCATATGGATCTCTTGAAAAGGCGTCCGAACAACTATAGAAGACACTAAACTGACTATATGACAGTGTGCGAGCTGGTGGTGCTGAGTTGCACAATATTGGCGCTTTAGCAGGTGGTATGGTCTCACAGGAGATCATCAAAGTGATCACTGAGCAGTATGTCCCCGTCGACAACACTTGTGTTTTCGATGGCATCAAGAGCAAGAGCACTGTATTCAGAGTCTGAAGAAGATCTCCGATTGTTCTCGTACATTGTGCCGCAAAGGCATTCGGGTTTGTAATCAACAAGCAAGGAGCTGCGGCAAGGCTATCGTTTCCGAGAGTGGTGACTTCGCATCTGATTTTAGGAAGACAAAAGGTCCATCTTCACTTTCGGTTACAACAAATATAGTTGGCATTAGATATGGGTATGTCACAGGGGATTGCCAGAAGAAGAGTCAAATTCACCTACAGTCAACACTAAAATAACATGATTGTCTGGTATCGGTAGATTGATAGACAACAATTCAATGCGGACAACGTATCGAATGGCCATGAAAACTAAATCAGAATTGCCATCAAACCAAGAGTCTCTCAATTGTTCAGTGATTGAAAGAGCGAAAGAAACATCATCAGCGCCTGCCTTTGTTCTGAAGTGATACACTTGTGCTAGTATTTAACACTTTCATTCCTTTCTCACCCGATTTTTCACCCTAGGGTTTCACAAGTAACACGACACCTTGTTTGACATACCAAATTAACAAGCATGGTGAAAAGGCGCAATACTATTACAAAGCAACCTACTCTACTGTTGACTGCTGAACTCCGGCCGACAAGTGGCAAGGGAGAGGCAGCTAATTTCCAAGCGTTATCACGTGATGACGCATACGCGACTGGAGTCGCGTCTGACCCCGGCCAAACTCGTCTGCCTGTCAACATTCGCTCAAACCAGGCGCTTCCTGTCTGCAATAGACCCATGGACTCTTCCTTTGATCTTCCGGACTCCACCGACTGGATCAAAACGTCCTTACCCGCCTTCGAACCGCTCGAAGCTGCCTTGCGCTGTGAGGTCTGCAAGGAGTTCTACCATAACCCCGTCATCACGTCCTGCTCCCACACATTCTGCTCGATATGTATACGAAGATGCATCGCGTCGGACGGGAAATGTCCGAGCTGCAAGACAGGATGCTCCAGCGACAAATTGGCACCAAATATTGCGGTCAGAGAAGTAGTAATGCGGTTTCAAGAGGCGAGGCCGAAAGCGCTTGAGTTAGCGCGTGCAGACAAAGACGAGGAAGTTAAGGGCGGCCGCAGAAAGAAGAGAAAAATAGAAGACACAGATATAGAGGAAGACGAGAATGTTAGGCAAACTCGGTCTCGACAAACCCGGAGCAAAAGTCAGCGCAACGGAGGCGGAGCAGCATCGCCTGCTGTAGTCGCTGATAGCGAAGATGACGGTGACGAAGATTTTGTCCCAGATGGTATGGTCAAGTGCCCAGTCTGCAATCGCGCCATGAAGGAAGAGCTGGTCTACAACCACCTGGACACATGCACTGGGCCAAATGCGTCGCCGGGGCGCAATGCCAGGTCAAGGTATGTTTAACAGAGATATGGCCTTGCATAGCAAGAGACTAATCTTATTTCATAAGGACAAAACCAGCCTTCCCCGCGTTACAGACACGAAAAAAAGACCCTTCGCCTCCGCCAATAAGATTATCGCAACTCAATTATGCTATGATGAAAGAGACCGCATTGCGGAAAAAGCTACAAGAAATCGGCATCCCTAATTGGGGCACCAAAGACCTCATGAAGAGGCGACACATAGAGTGGATCAATATCTTTAACTCGAATTGCGACGCCCATGATAGTCTGAGAAAGAGCCATAGGCAGTTACTGAAAGAATTAGACGAGTGGGAACAGACCCAGGGCGGTAGATCGAACAACAAGGAGAGTGCGATCATGAGAAAGGACTTTGACGGCGAAGGCTATGCAAAATCGCATCGAACGGAATTTGAGGACTTGATTGCACGAGCGCGGCAAAAACGTGCCACGCCCAAAACAGACGACGAGGAGCGTTGTGGGCAAAACACGCCTGCAGACGGACAACGCACAAGATCGCGAGATGAGACTACGGCGAATGGTACCGATGGTCCCTCTCGAGAACCCATATCGAATCATGCTTCCCCAGGTACACATCTGCCAGGCTACGATCCCCACAATCCATCCGAACATGGCCAATCAGCGCCGGCCACCATGCCAGCAAAAGGTGAAGCAGCGAATAGCACGTCGACAATACATACTCTGAAATCCGACAATTCGATGCAAGGAAAAGAGATTCCCTTCGGGAGTCCGAGCCGTCAGGTGCCCATTTATGCGGCTCCTGAAGAACCAGTCAGGGACATGGAGGGTAATGCAGCCGTGCAATAGTAACCAGAGTATGCAGTTGGAATAGAACCTTGGTTGACCTCAAGGACTGCTTTATTCACATGTTTTCCAATATCCAATGTGCTGTATTTCAGTCCACGTCCCCTTCACCACTTTTTGAGGACAGAGCTAGCTTCACACTTCCCGTTTGCACCCAGGAGACATCAATATACAGCACAGTCAACCAGCCTTTACACGTCATGTCTCCACCTGACTCAGCACACTGTTTTGATGAGGGACCATCCATGGATTCAGGAATAGGCCTTCCATCTAGCCCAGCCCGTACCCCACCAGATGCGTCGCAGCTTACACGCCAATCCTCACTTTACCACCAACCACAGAGCGGTTATGAAGCTCTCCACCGTAAACTATGGGATTTTGAAGACACCACGCCCGTGCCAGTAGATAATTCAAACAAATACTCACTACACAATAGTGTGCGCTTCACCAATCAGACCGCCCTACCTCCCTCACGGCCTGCAAGCACAATTTCTTCCAAAGGAGATGGCCGATCAATCGGAGCGAAGAACTCGCAAATGCCTCCGAGGCCTCAGACGCCATACCCACGCCAGCGTAAAGCAGAACCTAATGAGACTCCCCATACCGGTGATGCAAAAGAGGTGTTGGGACCACAGAAAGGAAGAAAGACGCCAGTGCTGATGAACGCCCCGAAGCTACAATGGGACTTCACCAAGCCGCTTTTTGCTATGCCAAGTCAGAGCACCCTGGACGGTGAGGAGGAGGCTGATGAGAAAGAAGAAGTAGAGGTAGAGCGACGAAATCTCAGGAATGTAGAAAGGGCAAGCACGCCGATTCCTACGTCCACCTCAACGAAGAACAATGCACAGCACCGCAAAGCAAAAAGTAAGCCTTGTCAACTCCACTCGCAGGAAGTAGCTAGGCATTTACTAACAAATCCTCCAGGCGCACTCCCTCCAACCCAATCATCTCTCAGAATCTACACTGTCGAGCGACAAAGATCCCCTTCCCCCAAGCAACAACCATCTCCTCCACCCACGCCACACATCCCCGCTCTCCTGCGCGTCCTAGACGCAAACCTGCATCCCCAGCCCCACCAGCTACGTCCCTTACCGGAAACCGACGAGCGCCCCGAGCTCTCCAAGCCCCGCTACCAACTGTCACCCTTCCCCCGCTGCTATCAGACAAGGAGCAGAGATGCTTTCAGTCCAAACCATTCCTGCCTAGATGACCCACGCAACCAAAGCAGCAGTGGAAGTCTATATACCCAGCCTACCAGGGAAACCGATCCCTACCCCTTCACCACGACTGAGACGTTGGGGTTGCAGACCGCACGCCTATTGCCTGTGCAGCGTGTTGAACGCGCTGATGTAAGGTGTGGCCATGTTAGTAATGCGAACCGGCGGTGCTGCGATGTGCCGGATTTGAGTAGTGAGGAGCAGTATGAGGAGTTGAGGGGGGAGGTTGTGGGGAGTGCAGAGAAGACAAGGTTTGGGGCGAAAGCGAGGAAGGCGTGGGATAAGGTTCGGGGTTTGTTTTGTAGGAAGGATGGGGGATTGGGTGGAGAGCGTTGGGATAGCAATGTGTAGTGGTTGTGTTTGTTGGTGGAGATGAAGACTGTTCTTCGTGGTGGAAATATTAAGTGACGACATACGATGTGACAGGTGGACTGGTGTTCAGTAATTATTCGAATAATATAAAGCATTTTCTAAATCTATCAGGCCCGAGTTTTTGATTCTCTTCAGCCCAAGTTGAACTCGCTTGCTAAACCAGCATGACGCATAAACTTTTCCCTTGCCCTAACTGCCTTCCTCATCTTCGCCGCCTCATCCGTATCCTGACCCTCTGGCAGATCCAGATCGACCTTCTTCCTCGTCGACACGCCCGACTCTGTGGCGGCTTTACGACTTGCTCCATCTACCCTTGGTCCACCACGGACCTTGACAGGTGTCTTATCGTTACGACCAGCACCAGTTCGTTGACCTGGAACCTTCATACCGCTGGGTCGCTCACGAAGGGCAAAAGCCTTGGCCAAGTGGCCCAGGTGCAGAGCTTTGATGTCGAAATACTTGCGTTCGTCAGCAACGTGCGTGGCATAGGCACGGATGTGACTTTGGAACGCGCGACGGGCAGCTTCGAGGCGGGCAGGAGAAGCCAGAGCCCAGCGTTCAATGGCAAGCTGGAGATCTGTTGCTTTGTCCATGTAAGCATTCTTTTCCATAACGCCGCTAGTGACGAGGCCGCGGTTAAGAATGTCGTCTGCGTCTTGACGTGCAATATGGATACCCGCCTCGGTCTCCTTGCGGTCAGATTTGAGGATATCGACATAGCCTTCTTCGGAGCCGGGCATGAGGAAGATGCATGCGCGTCCATCGCGACCGGCACGCGCTGTACGACCGATTCTGTGCAAATGGTCTTCTCGGGCAAAAGCCGGGTCGAATTCGATGACTAAATCGACGTTTGGTAAATCAAGACCACGCGAGGCGACGTCAGTAGCGATGAGTACAGAAGGTTCCTTGTTCTTTGCAAACTGCGCGAGTGTCGATGTTCGGAGGGATTGTTGGAGGGAACCATGGAGACGGTATGCTGTTACCGAATGTGTCTTTGCTGATAAAATAGGCGCTACTGCACTCGTTACTTCCAGTTTTGTAGGATCTGATTGTATCGCTTTGGTCTTTTTGCCAGATTTTTTGTCATCTTTCGTAGCCTCATCCTCGGTCGAGTCTTCTTTATCTTCCTCTTTTTGTTCTTCTTTTCCTTCGAGATCGCTAGTAAGCATGTCAAAATGAAAGTCGACAGAGTCGGCACAAGATATGAAGACAATTGCCTTCATAACGGAACCCTTTCGCGCAAACGCGCGCTTCAGATAGGCAATTAGAGATACCAGTCGTAGTTTGGGCGCCACAACAGCATACGATTGTTTCAACTGTGCGGGTGCGGAGAAAGTGGTATCCTTGCTTGTATCACTTGTTTCCGGTCCCTTCTCTGACGGATCGGCTCGAAGATGAACGGCGTCCTTCAAACTTATTTGACCCAGCCTCTCAACATCCATCTTCATGGTTGCGGAACAGAGTACTGTGGTGCGTTTCTCAGGGAGTCCTGGTATCCGTGATTTTTCGTCTTTCCTTGCGCGCATTCGTAGGTTCAAAGCACCAACAATCTTCTGAATCTCTTGCTCGAAACCAAGTTCCATCAGGCGATCTCCTTCATCCAGAACTAGCCATCTGACGTTGCTCACGTCCAGCGCTTCTGTGTGCTCCAGATGATCTACCAGTCGACCTGGTGTTGCAACCAAGATGTTGATACCTTTTCGCAAACGAGCCTTCTCCGACTTCTTTTTCTCACCGCCAATGACCGTCGTGGCTACTAGCCAATGCGCGCACCCTAGTATCTTCTCCAGCACCATGGCAATCTGCTTGCTCAGTTCTCGCGTTGGCGCCAGGATGATAGCAAACAGGCCTGAATTTCTTTGCACGTTTTCGTCGACTTTCCGTTTCTTCATATTCGCCGACAAGTCCATTAGTCTCTGCACAATAGGCAGAAGATAGGCCAGCGTCTTTCCGGAACCAGTTTCGGCCTGTATGAAAGCATCTGAGTCGTCTTTGACCAATTGTGTTATCGCGGCTTTTTGAATGGCCGTGGGCGCCTTCAGGTCCATCTTGTTGAGCAAATGGCTGGCAAGTGTTGTGGACATGCCGAGTGAAGTGAACGTGTGGAGTTCGCTGCTGAGGGGCGCATTCGAGGGTTCGACGGGTGCATCGTCTTCGCGTGGTTGGGCCGCTTCCGGCTTAGTGGTGGAAGTGGGATTGTAGGTAAATAGCGAGGAAATGACCTGCTTGCCGCCCTTTGGTGCACTCTGCTGCTCGCCAGGACGTTTTGTCGCATTCGGGTTCGACTGCGGCCTGAAGTTGGGGTCTGCAGTCTTTTCAGCCGCCTTCGGTTTGAATTCTCCGCTCACACGCGCTCGCTTTGGGTGTCTGTCGCCATGGTCGAGCAGGTCGGTATCGTCGACGGGCTTTGGTGTGCGCGGACCCAGCTCTGTGCGGTTCACATTGGTGGCATGGTCGACCTTCTTCTTGGGTACTGTTTCGCCGTTCAATCGTGCTGTCGCCTTGGTGTGCCAGTTCTGCGCCGCCTTCTTCGCTGTGAGCCGACTCTTCCAGTTACCGCCCTTGAAGGTTGGCTTTGCGATGATGCCGCTTTCCGGGATGGAGAAGTTGAGGAGCATGCCATCGTCGCCCATGTCTGCGCTGTATCGCCGTCGCCGGTTGTGAAAGTAGCGGGGCGTCAGTCGTCGACTGCGACAGCATGCGAAATCTCGACTTCCATCTTTTTAGTGGGGCACTAAACCCGATGCGGCCGTATGTGTGCACCCATGATGCTACCTTCAGCGCAGAAACTAGACGTCTTTTCCATTCTCAATTCTTGCAAGGCATGGCTGCCTTTTCGCGATCCCACCATGCTTCATCAACCTCCACGTTGCGAGGGAGAAGTTCCATCGTCCGCTTGGTCGTTGCGCGACTCGAGAACTAACTACAGTCCCATTCCGAGCGACACCTCCGCAACTCCCCGCAATGTCACTACTCCGGTTAACATCTGGTGAATACAACCTTATACACTGACACTGAGCCATTGAGCTGACCAAGATCAGTACCGACAGCACGCTCGTGTCTACTGGCCAAGTTTCCGCGTCCATTGCAAGCTTCGAGGACAAATAACAGCATCCGCTTCTTCTCCGGATCCCCGAGTCTGTGCAATACCTCATCCTCGAACCCCCAACCCCAAATCTTCCGCCATGTTGCTCCCTTGCGCGACTACCGAAGGGACTTGCGCCTCAATCAGCGTACTGTCGGTCTAGTACCCACCATGGGCGCTTTGCATGAGGGTCACCTCTCGCTCATGCGCCATGCCGCAGCTGAGAACACCGATGTCTTTGTCACAATTTACGTGAACCCCACCCAATTCGGCCTGAACGAGGATCTCGACTCGTATCCAAAGACATGGGAGTCAGACCTGCGCATAATAGAACAGCTGAACCAACAGCTGGCAAGCTCAGGCCAAGGACGAGTCACGGCTGTCTTCGCGCCAGACACCAAAACTATATATCCTACCCTCCCGCCTGACAGTAGCATCCCCGGCGTAGGAACGTTTATCGAGATGCGTCCGCTTGGTCAAATTCTCGAGGGCGCATCAAGACCCGTCTTCTTTCGCGGCGTAGCGACCGTGTGTATGAAGCTCTTCAACATTTGCGCCCCGGACCGCGTTTACTTTGGGCAAAAGGATGTTCAACAAACTCGCGTCATCAAACGAATGATCACCGACTTTCACCTTGACATGGATCTGCGCATAATTCCTACGTCAAGGGAGTCCGATGGCCTTGCTCTTTCGTCTCGCAATGTTTACCTGGGTACACGCCGCCGCAACGTGGCTATTGTTCTCAACCAAGCACTCCGCAAGGCAGAAATCAAGTACAAGAATGGGATGCGCCTGCGGAACGATGTGTTGTGGCCTGCATTCGACCACACAAACATGACTCTCCTTGAGCAAGAGCAGCTAGAGCCCAGCCAGCGCGTAAAGTTTGAAGTCGACTACATTAGCCTTGCAGACCCAGACACCATGGAAGAAATCGAGCAGATTGACGACAGCAAGGGTGCCATTCTAAGTGGTGTAGTCAAAATGCTGCCGGTTGAGGAACCGCAGCCAGACAAAGAGGATTTGGGCCGGCTGGACGCCGAGGGTCATCAAGTTCCTGTCCGGTTACTTGATAATATCATTCTGGAGCCTATGAGATGAATCTATCTTGAATATGTAAATTCCTGAATTTGATATAAAAAAATACAAAATACATTAGGTGCTGTATTCCAGAATAGACCTATGAATGAAACGCTTTTGCAATCTGTGCATATCCTTACTTTTTTCTCGCTTTTTGATCTCGTCCGGCGATTACTGTGTTTTTTTAAACAACTTATTCGCTCTCTCCTGTAAAGCACGAATCTGGTCTTACAAAGCCCCTTACACTCCTCATTTCTCATTCTTTTGTTCGCCAGGTAGTGTCGAGGATATGATCGCATCCTGATCACCAACGTCACCCACGAGACTGCTTCTCAGTCTCCACCATATCTTCCATCTTTAGCTCCATCATACTACTCCTCTTACGCGCCACTCGTGGCGGTGGCGCAACATCACCAGGCGACTTTTTCGCCGCATCATTCACCAATGAGTCGTTCAACGACAAACAAGACTTTGATTTTCCCCAGGAATCCTCACATTCTGATCCGGATCCACGCGTCGATATATCGCGAGTAGCAAGACTGGGTGGGTACGGTAGCACGTCAGGTGCGAAGTCGAGTAAACTTGTGGCGTTGCTCCTGGTTTTGCTCCGAATTTGTTCACATTGCGCCTCTGTAAGACCGGGTATGCATTCTGAGATGTCTAAATGTCGTACATCTGTCGGTGCGCCCTATAAATTTACATGTTAGAAAATGTAATGGTACTCCGTGCATGTGACTAGTAGAATAAAGATTAGCATGAGGGAAGTGATAAACATACAATGACCATAGTAGCCCTCTTCGTCCGTGGAGCAAAACAGGGAAACACATGTTGCATCACAGTAGCCATAGACATGGATGCCATTGCTGTAGGTGTGGGGTGGGAAAAAACAGGTTGCAGCGTATGCGCCTGGTTACTGGAGAAGAAGCAACAAATTACAGATCTGGATCAGTAATAATGGATAGATGGATGGTCGGTATCTGCCAACAAACACGCCAAGTTGGGATTTCCAAAGCCAGAGCCAGGTATGGGGGAGCACAGACGCTGAAACATAGGCCTCGGTACAAAGGGAATTGCGCTGTGCCGGGAGGCTAGGCGCGCGACAAAGACGTTAAAGAAAGAGCGAAAGAGATGGCTTGAGTATGATCGGTGATGTGCTCGTAAAATCACGGGCACCGGAAAAAATTGATCTGCAAAGTACAACCAAAGAACTAAAAAAAGTGAAGAAAATGAATACAGAAACCAGGGTTCGCTTGAAGTTATCATGGTGTGACAAGCTTTTCACTAAACTTGGCTGCCCGAGTCACGACCCTTGCGGATCACAAACTTTAGTCGTGTTTGAGATTGATTCCTTTGTTTATTCTTCCCGTATCGATCTGAGATTATCAGTTGGTGCCAGCAGAATGTGGAGATGAGAGAGCACCTGTTAAGGCGCTAGTAGACACATAAGATTCTCAACAAAGTATTGGTGTTTCAAGATGCGTAGTTGCGTGGTTGTACGCAAGAACACATTGCTACAAGGTTCCAGCCAGAGTATTTGTACCTGTACTCCTGCAACCACAATATCAAAATTTTGTTGGCTGTCAATTCACTTGAAATCATCGTCACATTGATCCAAAGTCGTGAATAGTGTCTAGCGGTTTCTTTGCAAGACTGATTGCATTCAACCATACCTATGGCAGGCCTAAATGCCACCCCAGCGGCGAGCACTCTTGACAGACAACAGGCCTGCAACGTGCCTCGGATGCTGCATCTATTTTGGGTAATCTTTGACATGGTAGCTCTTGAGCTTAACGAATTGGTCGAAGCCGAACCTGCTGAGAGTCTGACCTCGGCCAGAGTTTTTCCAGCCAACCCATGCCAGGTCCTAAAATTGTCAGTATGCAATGCCATGACTGTGGCGATAGAGCTACATACCGGTGCGGGGTAATCGCATCGATTGACAAAGACGGTACCAGCTTCAACATCATCGGCGAGTTCATGGCCTTTGTTAACATCCTTAGTCCAAATGCTAGCTGTAAGTCCAAATTGGCTGTCATTCATGAGCTTGATTGCTTCTGCGTCATTCTTGACCTTCATGACCGGAATAACAGGGCCAAACGTTTCCTCAGTCATCACTATCATCTCATGGTTGACGTTTGTCAGCAGGGTCGGAGCGACGTAGTTTCCGTCTGCAGGCGGGTTCTGGAATGTCGCATTTTCCGGGGTAGCATCCTTGGCTCCCTTTTCCAGAGCGTCTTTGACGTGCTCACGGATAGTCTCTGCAGATCTCTTGGAGACCACGGGACCAACATGCGTGCTCTTGTCAAATGGATCGCCGAGCTTGTACCCCTTGAGCACCTCTTGAAGTGCTGATACGAACTCATCATGGATTTTCTCGTCCACGTAGATTCTCTCAACACTGCAGCAACTCTGGCCTGAGTTGAAGACTGCACCATCTACGAGCTCCTCTGCAGCCCATTTGACATCGACATCAGAACGAACATAAGCGGGATCCTTCCCTCCTAGCTCAAGTCCTATCCGGAGTGGAACCCTGTCATTTGCAGCTTGTTGAATGGCGAGACCATTGGCTACTGATCCGGTGAAGCAAACAAGCTGAATCTTTGGCGATCGTGCAATCGACTCAATCTGAGTGACGGATCCACAGTGGAAGATTTGAAGCACACCATCAGGAAGGCCAGCTTCCTTGAAAATCTGTTGAATCTGCTCGGCACTCGTTGGCGTCTGTGGCGATGGCTTCAAAATGACGGAATTTCCTGCAAGCAGAGCAGGCACTAGCGAGTTGATGAGAGTCAGATATGGGTACTGCAAATATGGTTAGCAAGTGCAAGACTTGATGTAACCCTTGATCACCACCCACATTCCACGGAAATAGAATCAACACGGGACCAAGAGGGACTTTCTTGATGTAGCGCTTGAACCCCTTCTCTGGTTCGCCGTCCGTGTCCTTGAGCGTATCATCGCTAATTTTGAGCAGGTACTCGCCGCGCATAACCGCCGTGCTGACCTCCTTGGCAGTATAGGCAATGGGGCGACCCATCTGTTCTGTGATCTCTTTACCCAAAACATCTTGGCGTTCATTTAGCAGCTTCAATGCCTTCTTAACAATCGCTTGCCTCTCAGAGAGTGACGTGCGTCGATAGGATTCAAATGCCGTTGCAGCCGTCTCAGGGAGAGACTGCAAATCAGCATCTGAGAGGCCATTGCGTGTGACGATTGGCTTGTTGGTGATGGGAGAGATGGTCGTGATCTTCTCGAGCGACATGGTGGCGGTGCTTGTTTTGGTACGAGGCCTCTATGGATAAATTCAAGTGGCAATGCACAATAAGCAGACACGGCAGTGTCGATTCAGCGGCGCCTTGGGAGCAGTTAATTTTGAGTTGAAGCGTTGCCCGCCGCCAAACCGGAAATGACGTATGACACGCTAGGACTAGCTCGTGCACGTTCCATCTTGGTGGAGGGACATTCACCCCTCCACGCCGAAAAACGGACTCGATATAATCTCTCTTATCACGGTTATCGACGGCGCGATTACATACTCACTTGCGCTATCGGGACCATGATGAGGGAAAATTTCCGGGCATTTGCTCGGCCATCTCATCGGATTGCTCAAGCGTTCTACCACATGGCCGTAACAATCTGCACAGTAGGGCCGCAGCAGTGGCTCAATGCCCCTGACCGTCTCCACCGACCTGGTCATCTACCAGAGAATTGCCTTGGTCGTGACCTTTGAGTAATGTACCACAGTAGTTTGTGTTGAGACGCAAGATTGCCGTCGGCATGGGTTCGGGCCTTTTCCTGCCATATCATTGAGATGCCGACAATGCATCTCAGTGAGTGGTAGAGAGTGCTGGGTCAATCACATATCTGAGTAGCAATAAAGTTCCGTTTTCACCACTGTATTATGTCAAAAGCATAGTATCGGTACTGCATTTGCGACTCCTCCTAAGCAGCCTCGTTGGCTCACTTCGCGCAACGGAATGCAGAATCTTCAATCGTAGAACAGTGGCAGGTTTACCGACACCGTCTTTCTCTTTACAGGCAATTTTCATGGCAATTCTCTGCACACGTTCGACAGAGACTTTTGACTGTGCCTGTTGAGCACCATGCAGGGGAGTACCAAGTATCCCCTGGTTCCTACACCACCCTGCATTCTGCATAGAACCTCTAGAATATCCACTTAACCCCGCTATCCTTGGTCCAGCCCATTCATATCGGGAGGGTTCTTTTACCACATAATATCTACTGTCTGTTGAGAAGCCCAAGACCGAGGCCTACTCGGCGTGCAAAGTTTCACAAGTGACAGGGTGTACATGTCCACGTGGTTGTGCGAGCTTGTCAAGCCTTTGTGAGCCATGTGACCCTCAAGGACGAACGGAATGACGCTAGAAGCTGAAAGCCAGCGTCAGTAGTGACTATATGCTGGATGGCCTATAGTCTTGTCAATAGTCATATCTTTACCTGTTATGATCGGGTCCAGCACGTGTCCATCAACGGGCTAGCCACGGGATTTATGCAGCAACATCAAAGGCTGTACGAGCAATATATGAAAATCAACAAGCTGAACTGAAGTCGGCTTTGGAAGCCGCAGTGCCTTGTCCTGTTACCTTCCCTGCTCCACAGTGCAGCTGTACTCGCTTGCGCCATGCGCCTTATATGACTTTGCGAAAACTTGGGTGCTATTTGTTTGGGTCTTTACCCATCCCCATGGGCCGGAATAGCTGTGCCGAACGGCTCGGTACGACACATCTTGGAGTTGTCCTCGTGTTTAGGGACTTGCTCCGCCCATGAAGATCACACTATCGGCCTCAATGTAAGCAACTGCTTACGTCGTCTTGAGAATCATTCCAGAATGGAACGACGATCAGCACAGACACAAGATAAACGCTCAATTTATGCTTGTTGTGTTCGAGTTCTGTCTACCTCGTCACCACTCGAGCCACCTGGTTCTTATAAGGTCGAACTGTGGCGCGATCATCCGGTTAGGGCATATGTATATGTTGGCGGTGCATGCCTTTAGCTTTCAAAGGCAACGATCTAAGAAGCATCTCAGAATATCATCGACGTAAGTAAACGAGCAACAGTAAGTCTCTCATAGCTGTGCACCAACGTGTTATAGTTAGGTAACGTACTATTGAGATGCCAAAGTGTTTAGATAGAGCTCTTTGCTTGTATCCCCACACCGTCTTTCAGTGGGCCAACTACATGCAGACTATTTTTGTAAAATTTGAACAAGAATATACGAGTTGCGGATGCCTTTACGTTATCCTGTAGTCAAAAATCACAACAAATTCTGCATGCGACATGTTGAAGCCGTCCAAGGCCCAACTAGTAGAGAACCCCGCACAAAGCCGCCCCCAAAGTTTGAACAGTAATCATGGACAAAAGTGGATATTGTAATATCAAAGACACGATATACCTGGTACATTTTTTGGCCCAAGCAACAGCAGTAAGCAATACGAATTGTGGTGGTCTTTTGCGGTCCGTCGGTGATCTACTTAGCGTCGGCGTGTTGTCATCTGTCGGTGCGCTAAAGTGGCTGGATCGCAATGGTAACCCAAATGATATCCAAAACTATTGCCAATAGTATGAGACATTGTGGAGGATCCAGAGAACCTTGTTCTACACGGTCGTATAGATCTAGGACTTTGGGGGTTAGCAGGCCTGGTGTTGGGTAGCTGCGCTGTTGTGGTAGGAGCGCCTCAAGTCTGTTACTGCAAAGTACATCGAAAAGAGTATCTTAAAATCTTTCACTGTGTGTTTCGTTGTTGGTCTTTTAGTACAGTGATGTGAGTTTTTAGCAAATTATTTGCAAAACAGATGCATGGTGCAATTGTTATTTCAATGGTAGTTCAGCTTGGTGTTTAAGATGCGAGACTACCCCTACTGTCTTGAACATTCTACTCCAAATCTATTGCCGTAGTCGTACTTAATGTGAATCTATACACGCATGATGCATTGTGCGTGTATTTGAGAATCACGGTAAGTTGTCAGATTTGAGTGATACTAATTGAAAGTAGGTTGAAAGCCAAGCCAAAAGAACTATGTGTAGCTATGTCAACTAACCACCGATGTTCGTGTTTAGTTTTCATAAATCGGACTAAAAATGACAAGTATGATGAACGGATGTGTTTGATGCATGGATTAGTGAAGAGTGATGCTGAGTCAATTAGGCGTTGACATAGAGTAATCGTTGTAGCACAAAGCCACGGTCGTTGAAGCCCGAGTTACCTGTTATGGATAGATGTTGCGCAGAACATCTACGATCTCTAAGCTTTTATCAACTGCATACGTATTGACACAGGGAGCAATGCAAGTGAGCTATGTTGTTAGCAACTCCACAGTTCTATTATTTGTTGTCACCACCGTATCTGAAGATACCATGATTGCTTTTTGCAGCTAGAAGAGGAAATATTACCGATAGAAGCATTCATTTTATCCGCATCCAATTTGATTTGTGATAATTTTCTAACTCCGTTCTGTGAAGTGAAAATGAATCCTTATTGAAGGCCTCTTCCGCTGATTGCACCTTTCATGTGGACGAGATTAGCTACGGCCAGAATAGAGTAGAGTTTCACTCCACTTGGTGTTACACCGCACATGACACCATGTCCTGGAGTATTATGTTTTATCACTCTTATGTTATTGCTGACGTGGTAACAGACTAAGTATAGGTCTTTCCAAGAAAGTCTCCTTTGCTTTGCACAAAATCCCTGGATGTTGAAATTGGAGAGCCGACAGAGAATCAGGCCCAATAGGATATTTGCGGTAGTCTTCCAGTGGTACTCGCGGGGAACAATTTGTCAGACCATTTGAATCGCGTCTTAGCATGAATAATAAAGACAGATTGTTATTGAACGATTAGTGAAACAATTGCGATACTGATATAATAGAGTTGCAAACTATTAAGAGAATATGGAAACTATGACATGGGGTGTTTCGTATTACTTTTGTTGAGTCCATGACCAAGTGCATGGTAGCTAAGCAGTCGACTGTTGAGCACAAGTAAACTGTAGTTGTCTGCAGTTGGCTGACCTGCTTTCTGTCAACGAAGACCGGATCAACAGTCATCATAGTCATGATGAGATCAGGGGCATGAGCTGATTGCATAGCTTATCGTAGCACCGAATGTATTGAATGTCTGCACATCACTGCAGCTACACATACCCATTACGGTAAAGATGGAAGTGTGAAATGCTGGGACGCGTTGCTTTCACCCTGTGCAACCGGCAACGCCGAGCAGGCTCGCATTTGTCCCATGCTTGAGCATATTCCCGCAAGTTCAAATAACGGTCGTCGAATATGATTACCAGACTGGTATAAAAAACTGGCCATGACCTGATAAGACGACTCTTGGAGGCCTCACTGTTAGCTTGCATTCTTCCGACGTACGTGGCGAAAGGGGATAGTCGCGTTGCTCGTGATTTTCGTGCCTTGTTGTTTCGGCGGTTAAAACAATGGCATCACGTTACAGTGACTCACGATGGAAATCACTTGGAACAGATCAGACGAAAATCCTTCGTGCAGGATCTCGAGACAATATTCGTGTCGACGACTGAAAAAAAATAGAAGGCTTCAACGTGACATTGCTGCGAACACTTCTAGCCGCTTGAACAACGGTCCGACATTGTAATGCGAATCCGGGTCGTTGTGGCGACCGATGCAGGTCAATTTAAATTTGTGGTGCTTGGTAAACACTGGGGGCACTAGCCCAGCAGGCAGGATGCGAGGCGATCCACAGATACTACAGCATTGTCGCCTAACGTCGCCAGTTGGAACCTGTCAGCCAACGGTCTCATGGTCTGGAACTGCAGCCAAACTCGACAAGGCCTCTTCGGGGGTGGGGCCCCCTCGTTACCGAACAATGGATACATACTCGCCCTGCTGAGTAGCGCGGAGCATCCTGCACCGTGAAGTCGATGGGCTGTTCCTGCAACGCTGCTGACACGGCCCGCTTTGGAGCATCTTTCAGCAGGTTGGACCAGACGTGGCATACGTGCAGCAGCTGATGTTGCCCAGATTTTTATTTGAGCTGGTGCCATTAACACTATGTGTTATATCCAGATCTAATGATGTTCAACACATGCACATGGGAGGTTTCCAGGTTTATGCTTGGCAAACTTGAGTCTGGCTCTAGCGGTGGGGCGGATTTGTCCAGGCTGGTATACGGGATTCATAAGATGCATTAGCGGAGTAAGTGTGGAAACGCATTAGTGTTATGAAGGGACACACTCTGTGTGTTTGGTTCCTGGGGAGGTATAGGCG